ACTTTATTCAGACTGTTCTTGAAATAACCCAGCTTTAGGCAATGAAGAACATCTGGAGTTTTGTTTATATCTGAGTATGTGCTTATGTCTTGCAAATCCCTGCCCTTAACCATGAAAATGAGGTGATACGTTACATCAAAAAGCAGTTGATCACTTGTTAGTAAAATTTCTAGCCTTTCATTAATTTTTCTGAACATTTTCCTTATAGAGATAAAGTGAAAATCAATCACAACGTACAGTAGTATCAACGGACTTTTAAGAAAATGTAAATATAGTATTAAAATCACTAACTAGAATATAAGAGATACAAATTTAGATTAAAAAAATGAATACACGCATACTGGCAAATTTCAAATAATTTCACATATTGTAGAGAGTTTTCACATAGTTTCCTTTAATTCGTTAACAAATCGGATCGGTGTAGTTGAATTAACCGAGCAACTGGTGGTTATCTTACTAAACAAGGGAGATTTTGCATATACAGTAAATATAAGCAAAGAATGTGAACCAATTCATTTAAATGCACTGGTTCTTTTCCTTGCATGAAGAAATTCAAGAAATCAGGTGTTTCTTCTTTTTTAGCAAATGTATCACACTAGAGAGTTCCAATGCCTGGTTAAACATGCCGTTAAATTGTGAGCCTTTTGCCCCTTTAATATTTCTAAATTTAATAAGTATGAAACCAGAGCAGATAAATAAAGATTTTTAATCCCAAATTGATAACATTTTATGCATTTGTATTGGTTTTAAAATAATCTCGGATCTTGAAATGTATCCATATAAATGAATAAGGTTTACTGCACATTTGTGTTTTCAAAAGAAAGGTCCCTTAGTTATAAGAATCATTGTTGAGTTATAAAACTATTAATGCCTAGCCAATTGTACTATATAGTAAAATGCTCCTCCAAAAATTCCACATTTTACTTAGAATCCCTTTACATCTCAGCAACATGTGATATAAGGATTAGGGCAGTCCACTTAAAACAGCCAGTGTGACTAGTCTCCTAATGTTATCAGTGAAGACTTTATCTCAATCTTTACACTCCTCTTCAGAGGTTCACAGTGATTAGCATTTGGCTATTTGCTCAAAGGGCTCCCTGAGGAATGAAAGAATCCTAATCCCGCGTTCCTAATCCTAAATGCTCCCGCAGCATGCTCTGCTGTTAATTCTGAGATTCATGTTTAAAACCACAAAAAAAAAACAGTGACAGAGCACAAGTCATTTTCTATCTATCCAATTATCCCTAATTTCCAGCATTTCTGGAATTTAATTTTTTGCAATTGAATGAGTGCTTGTATGTGTGTGTTCTTGCACGTGATGTTTTTTCTAGATCACACAGCTACCATGTGATTTTCTACATTTTGGCGCCTTTGGAGGCTCTGCATGCTAAAAAAAAAGAGTTTTAACGGGATCCTAAACTACCCTTGACTCTTCAGTTTGGATTAGGCATGGTGCTGTGGGCAGTGTCCTGGACAGCTGTGTTTTTCTGCGGAAAAACTGAGGACAACAACTTAAATGAATGCAAATGAACCACAAATTATATATCTAAGCACGCGTTTATAGATGGGAATGGAAAAAAAGGTCATTGGTCAGTTTTCTCACTTTTCTACTATAAAAAAACATAATTATTGCTTCAGAAGAAGAACAAGAAGTTCTAGAAGTGTCTTTTATTTGCCACCCAATGCGACAGCTACGGAAACAAAAAAAGTCACCGATCTGTTAACCAATCCACTCCTTTAATGTTTATATTATTCTAAAGTCCAGTTGCTGTAGCAATCTTTCTTCAAAACAAATGTTTGTGTACAAGTGGATTCAATTGTAAAATAAGCATATTTGGTGTAATAATAATGTGTCAGAAATTACAAAATGTTTATAATTTGTTAAAACAAAGTAAAATCCATCTGAACAAACTGAAAGGCTCATTGCAAGACTGGAAATCAGGCTATGTGAGTTAATCTAAAGCCCAAAAGTTTAGATCGAAATTAGTTTGCAAAACACGAGACAGGCCTTCATAGCTTTCTCAGCACAGTTTTTTTTTAATAAAAAGTGTGTACTTCTTGAAGCCAGTACTCCATAATTGTGTGGGCATGAAGCATTGGAATAAACAACGTGCCCCAACTTTTCTGAATAGCTCTGTGTCAGAAGAAAAACAACTTAAAAATAGTTTGTCTGAGTCAGTTGTGAAATAAATAGAAGCATGTTACAACAGTGTATAAAGTCGACTTACTAGACTAATAGTGAGCATTCATATTTACTATTTCAGGCCCTGTGGACACACAATAGCTGTCTGGACCTCTCTATGTTATACAACACTAAATAAGTTGTATTAAACTTACATCATACAACAGAATCCTGAATAATTTTTAGATTTGTTTAAATTATAATCGTATAAATTGTACCTTATGAATGTTTTGCTAAATTTATATCTACACTCTTTGGATATATCAATATTTTAATATTTAAATAGTTTGTGTGTTTGGTGGTGTATTCTCATGTAATTTGTTAGTCTGCCTGAATTATTGCTGGGAATATTTAATTAAATCTGGCAGCCGACAATTGATCTCCATTAAACATCCCTAAATCCCAAAGGGATCTAATTAAAATCAAAGACATGATTTCGTAGCAGGGCTATGTATTTAGGTCTCCCATGACAAAATGTACAAGTGAAATCCAACAACTGTTTTTGAACTAAATTACATTGTTTTGAAATGAAGGCAATCTTCGTCCCTTCTTGGTTTTGCTTTCCACATACATCCTCGTTTCAGGATATTAAGCCTCCTTCTTGTACTTGTACTCCCAAGTTTGAATAAACACAGATTTACAAGCAGAATGATTCACATCCTGGCCTTTGCCATCATACAGTACTTTTGAAGTCAATGTGCATCTATGGTTAACACATTGTTTCCATCTCTTCCTACAAGAAATGTTGGGATGAAAGCCTCAGATCAATTAAAGATCAGATCATAAAGACCACCCTAACTCGGTTGGCTGAATGACCTGCTTGTATCTGCAAACGTCTCTCTTCTTAAGTAATTGTTTGAGGCCTTCTAAGCCTAAGCCTACTGCCACGCTTCACTATACTGTATGTATCATGTTGAAAATGAACTTTGGAGTTCCACTAAGACTGATACTTCAGTATCCACTGCTCCCACTGATTATGAATATGAGTATGTTTAAACACCAGCATGGGAAAAAAGCTTTTCTCATTGTTTAAAAAGTATAGAGTGGTAGTTCTCTTCGTATGCCAAGCATGCCTGAGGGCAGAACTGCAAAGGCTGCACCACACCTCCTAAATACCACAGACCAGGCCACTTGGAACATTCACATCAACAGACCTGAGTCAGCAAGACTTTCTTCGTGATGCTACATACAGTGTGATTGAGTAATAAAGCTATATATATAAGCTAAGAATTCATTTTCTATGTGGTTAAGCTGACTACTCTCCACAAATCTGCATCTCAGATTCACTGGCTACACTCCTGAAGCAGATGCATAGAATACCGGCACAAGTTTTCAAACTGGCACAATGAAGGAGTTTTCAAGCTATCTGTTGAACTTATCTGTGTAACCAGCTGTTTGTGTTATTTAAGGGTTGTACCATTAAAAATTCAGCTTTGACCTAAAAGCAGTATAATCCTCAGGTATAATGGCTTCCTTCAAATATCTTAAATATTAAACATCATCACAGAAAACGTGAACATGAACATGGGTCAAATCAAAATGACGGATCTGTAAAAAAATGACTATCAAAATGAAAATGTCATGAATGTAAGTTTGGGTGTGATTTTCCTGAACATTGTCACAGTCCTGGCAATACTGATGCGATGTCTGCACAGACATGATCTGCCTCTGTAAAGGCTAGTGTCTGATATTTGGTCAGTCTTCCACTTCTTGTCAATGAACAGGTTAGCAAATTGTCTATTGTCTACTATTGTCCTACCCCCCACCTCACAGCCTTCCCTTATCTCATTCTGGTCTCCTATCTGCCACCCAAGCTCATCTAAATTCTATGAGAGAGTCTTTATTATCCCGAAGGGGGCAATTTGTTTTTTCAGCAGCATTGTTGGTGTACAAACAGAAAAATAAAACACCAGAACAACAATATACATGCATATTTGCAAAAGAATGAAGTGTTAAGGAAGGATGTGGCTACAGGAATGAATGAGAACTCTATTGGTTTTGGAGTAGGGGAGTCGGTGTCTTTGTTCCGATGGGAGTAATTGGAGTTGATTAAACAAGGGGTGTGAAGGATCGTCACAGATTTTGCTTCACGCAAAACACGTGTGTGATAGATGGAGGAGAGGGCTGGAAGAATGGTACCAATGACCTTCTGACATATTTTCACAAGGCTGCCCAGTTTCTTCTCGCCTCGCAGATTCTGGTTGCCAAAAGTTAGAGCTTTTGGGTGACACGGTCTTCTCCTGTTATGCCCCCAAGCTCTGGAACTCTATCCCTAAGGATATCAGAGAGTCACCTTCTCTAAACTCCTTCATAACCAGACTCAAAAACCTTCTTCTTTAGAAGAGCCTTTACTGAACTGATTCTGTTTTTTACCCCTCTACTCCTGCGGTACTCAGTATCCCCATCTACTGTGTCCTCTGTGTATTCTCATTGTGTATATCTGTTGTCATTCTGTTAAGAAGACACCTTTAAAGGCGCTATATTAAATAAAGTTTTTTTAATTGTTATTATAAATTAATGAAAAGTATATTTTTAAAACTATATTTCTATTGCATCAACATCTGGCGGTACTAGCGAGCCTACTTATTATATTTATGGAGAAACAAAAATAGTTTTTGCACATTTTTGAGCACTTCTGGTGTGTATTTATGACAGATTGACAAGAGGCTATGTGATCTTCAATTTGTCGATAGAAATAAATTAAAGAACACAGGCAATGCAAAGACAGCTAAAAACCCTCCCTATGTCTCTGAATGGTCAAAATGCGCTGAATGACAGCTGTTTTTACCTAATTACATCGCCTTTTTCCAGAGCCCGGTCGGTTTGAAAATATATTTCATAACATACTGCTCTTCGGCAATATTATCTTCTTTTGTTTATTGTTTTTTCCACATGGGTTTAGTCGGGGAAGTCACCTTTTTTCAAGGTAGGGGACAATGCTTTTTATGTATTTTATACAAATTCTTGCTTTTGCGATTCCGTTTTGCTGGAGAATTGATCATTATCGAAGGATTTTGTAGCTTCTCTAAACTGAAACGGTACATAAACATCAGAAAAGCTTTTTCCTCTGGTCTCTGGTTATGAAACACACTTCTGAAAAGTTTAGGTTGTACTGTGTCTTGTGATACACTGTATAGCCCGTGGTGTTGTGTTTTGATTTTGCTGGTAAAAATATTTACGATACCCACGTTGTGCAGTTTCTGTGTTGTTGTCAGCATTATACTATGGACTTGTTTGTTTATTACAACATTGTTTCGCTGCTGTGAAAATAAAAAAAACGTGATGGCTGTGTTAAGTGGAAAATGCATTTGCGATATTTTGAAAAACGATTCAAAATATGTTGTTTTCAGTAATGACAAGTGTAGCGTTAAAAGCGAAACACCTTTAGGCGACTCCGCCTACAACTTCTGAAGAGTGATAAAGCAGACAGGATGCCTTCAGTCATGTGAAGTATGGTCATATTCCTTGCTGCCCTTGCATAAAGTTAAACCTTTTTTAAGAGTTTATTTTGTACATATTCTTAATCAACACATTTTTAGCTCAAATGCCTTGCACATGGCACCTTTTATGAATCACTGTGTGTGCCTGTCATCCCAACGATCATGTGCCCTGCCCATGATTTATATTGTACAATATATATCAATAACATTATGTGCGCAAAGAACTTTTGATGTGAAGCTTAAGACTTGTGTTTTCAATGTTCATCTGTGTGTATACTGCATAGAAAGTAAATTTCTTATAGGTGAGAAGATTGTGGATTGTGGCATTGTGGCGCAGTGGTTAACAGTGTCTCTCAGTGCTGCAGCCCAGGGTTCAAATCTAGACCAGGGGTGCTGTCTGGGTGGAGTTTGTATGTTCTCCCCAGGTTGGCATGGGTTTTGTCTGGGTGCTCCGGCTTCCTCCCACAGTCAAGAAAACATACAGGTGGGCTAATTGGCTTCCAGGAAATCTGGTGCTGGTGTAAGTTCGTATGTGTGTTTTTCTTTGTGTGTCTGCCCTGCAATGGACTGGTGTTCCACCCAGAGCGTACCATGACAGGCTCCAGCACCCCTGTGACGGTGAATTAAAAAGAGGGGTGAGAAAATGTGTAGTTGCATGGATCGGTGGGGAAAGGTATCTAGAGAATTGCTTGGCAGAGCAGCCATGACTGAATGGAAAGATGAAGGGACAAAAAGCATGGAAACCACAATTAAATTGCAAATAAGCTGCTTTATTAAAAGCAAATGATGGGAACCACTGGAGATTCCATGGTAACAATATCAGGTTATTGTCCCTGAGAGGCATTTACATTGATCTTTCTTCTCCAATTTAACAAAACCAAAACAAATCCAGATACTGGATTATAAATACAAAAAGAACAGGATTACAGGCCGTCAATAAACATTGTAAAAGTTTATCAGAAGCATTTCTGATCCACAGAAAACTAATCAGAATTATATACAAATTACAACCATGAAAAATATACAGTAAAGAAATACTGTTAAAAATAAAAGATTTACAGGCACACCCAGTGTGGGTTATCTTCACAGAGGTGGGAGCTGCCCTCTGTGTTATTAATTGACTTTTTCCTTGCAAAGTTCTCTCACCTTTTTTCAGAAGTCCCCAATTTCCCAGCAGTCATTACAAAAAGGAAAGACTAAAGCCCACTGCAGGGAAAAGATTTATAACCCTTGCATTCTGTGAGTATTAGGTTCTATTTCCTGTGATGATTCACCTGCCATTTATATCTCGATGAAATTAAATATATTAACACTTCAAAAATGTCCCTTCCGAATCAATTTGCATCTTTGAAGTCTTTAGACCAAGGCACACACATTAAACAGTGTTTGGTATCTCTTAAGGAAACTGTTTAGTATTTAAGATCTACTGTACAAATATACTTTAGGGCTGCTTATACAGAGGTATGTTAAAAATATACAGGGTAAATATAATGAGAAAGGTGACAACCCTTTATGCATTTAACAATTTACAAAAAATTATCAACAGTTTTGTTTAAGGGAAGCTGTGCATCTATTTATACATCTTTTCACAAGAAGATGATTGTATCATTTAATTTGTACTAATGTTACTAATATATTACTCACTTATAAACTGTAATATATTGAATTAAATATCACAATATCTATAAACTATTTTTTTGGGTTAAGTCGTCCTTCAATTTTAAAACAGACCTAAAGCACAACTGGCCTCTTTTAAATCTCTCAAAAATTCATGAAGGGGGAAAAAGTGCTCTATAATGATGTACCTCAGAAATAAATATCTGAGAGTACATCTAGAAGACTGCCAACTGCCAGCTCAAGTAATATTATTACTAACACTGAAATGGCAAAAACTATTCAAAAGCCTCTTCATATCAATGATTTTGTCCGGAGTCTACAGAAATATTAAAAAACAAACATTTCCCCTTTCACTTTAGATCGTCTTTGATAACTAGTATATGCGTTGTAACAAATTCCTATACATCTTCCAAATTGCTTATTACGTACACAAAGCAATAATGGCGTAACTGTAAGCACCAAAAACTGAAAAGGCAATAAGCAAAGCTGGCAAAAGGCACAGTAACATTAACTTACATTCTATGAGAATTGCAAATACATCACAAGCAACATTTACAAATATCAAGCACAGCTGACTGCCTGCGCCCCACAGACCGGAGTCCGTGGGGTGCAAACACCTCACTCTGCTGGCCCTCTCGCTCCGCCCTTGGGAAGAGAGAAGCACTGGCAGCAGCAGGGCAGGAAGAGTTCGTAATGAAACTGTGGGCCGCACAGCAGCCCAGTTAAACAAACGGAGGCTGTGCAAAACTGCAGTGAAAAAACAGCAGCTGCACAGCCAAATGACACGGGTCCTGCTAGCCCTTGAGTTACCAGGGCAGCACAGGACGAGGCTGACGAAGGGGAGCTGGCCGTTAATAGGCTGGCTGGGTGGGGCACCAGGGGGTGTCAGGATACAGCATGCAGTGAACAGACTTAAACCTGATGAGAGAGGAGAGGGATGTTAGTTTCATCTGTATTGCCACTGTATTGTCTTGTGTAACCTGGGGTAAATAACAGTGGAGCCCCGATTATCCAACCTAAATGGGACCCATAGTATGTCGGATAATTGAAAATGTCGGATAATGGCGACAAGTCATAGATTAATGGAAGCGCGGTATAAGTAGGAGATCTGGTTTATTAACCTACTGTAAATCAGAGCTTTCTCTTGAAGTAGCGGGCCTGTGATAGGCCTTTGAACAGAGCTTCACTGGCCACAGAGCTTCACTGGCCATTTCATATTCACATTTCTTCATCGTTTTTCTGTCCCTCAGCCCTTCAGTTGAGGCCCGATCAGAGCACCACTTTTCTATCTCATTTCTTTTCCTCTTCCAGTCGCCAACTGGAACTCGTCCCACACCGAATTCAGACGCCATTTTTTTGCAGGGACTCGCCTTTGTCTCGTCTTTTTACCGCTTCAAGCTCGTGTTCCATTGAAAGAACTACTTCCTTTCTCTTCCCACTTGTCATGTATCTCAAATAATAACATTATATATATGAGCGCAAATGAACAAGTGAACAAGTGAAGCTTCGTCAATGGCAGTATTTGACGCACTGAGAGACAAAGCCACATGGGATTGGGCAAAATATTATGCATGCGTACGCATACAGTCCATAGCATATAAGTATACAGCTCGTTGATTGCTAGGTCGGATAAAACGGAATCTCGGATAATCGAAGGTTGGATAATCGAGTCTGTACTGTACTGTGTAATTGGAATACTGTATAGGAATAACATCGCTGGAATCGCTACAGAGATAAGTTAAAAACAAATACTACCACCCTTCTCAGATCTACTGCACTGGTGCTTTACAGCCTTTGTAAGAAATGGGTTAAGAGACCATTTGAAAAGTATGACAGGAAATTCAAAAACACAAGAGGGAGAAGCAAAGGGAAAAAAATATTCGAATATCCGCCATGAAAGCACCAAGAATTGTGATTTATTGTTTTAAAGCCCAGCCAGTAATTTCCTCCCTGGTTTTGGGCAGTACTTTAAACGCATGAAAAATAATAGGTCTAAATTCAGTATTATGGAGCTCACACAATATTTCTTCTTACCTAGAAGGATCCTGCTCTACTGAAAAAGCCCCTTTCATGTTGATGGAATTCCTCTTGTTCTCAAACATCCCGTAGCTCAGTGTAACCTGGGATAGGAGATACAATGGATTTAATTTATAAAATATCACAAGCGGCTACAAAATCAATCTCTAATTAACATGCTATAAATATAGGCAACGATTCAGGGTGGTAGGAGAACTTGCTTTCGAATGCTATTATATCCTGTGCGCCTCCTAAAATTTGTAACTAATTGTCCTTATGATTGTTATAATGCGACCCAATCCATGTAGTATGTGACCCAAGCGCAGTCATATTAGAATACAGAATGATGGACAGTACAGTCGAATCGGCAAACAAAAGTCTTTTTCGGTTTTGCACTGACTGAAAGAAAACGTTGTCTGGGAGCCTCTAGATTAAATGGAATGCAAGCTTTGGCGAATGCAGGCTGAGGCTGAGACTGTTTACCTGGTTCTGCAGTCCAGACTTGGGCACCTGCTGCAGGTTCTCCAAGTGGGAATGGAACAGGTTGCTTCGGATCAGTTTGACTCCCAGGACGGATTCGATGATGTAGCCAACTGTGCAGTCATCTGGGAGGCGAATCTTTTCTGCCGTGTTCATGAAATGTCCACCACTGGAGAAAAAGGAGAAAGGGCAATTGGCCGTCATTGATAAGATATTGGCCATATACAATTTCTTGCATTAGGAATCTGTCTTTTTTCGCATACCCCAGCTTGCTCTCCATGAGACACACAAACAGGGAGAGAAGCTTGGGGTCAGAGCGCAGGGCCAGCCATTTATACGGCGTAGTTGGGGTTAAGGGTCTTGCTCAGGGCCCAGTGGAGTAGGATTCCTCTGCCGGCCGCAGGATTTGAACCAGCAACCTTCCAGCTACAGGCACAGATCCTTAGCCACAGTGCTACTGCTCTGCCCATTGGCTAACCTGGCTAATTTTAAACCGCTTGCAAAAGGTATGCGTTTCCCTTTTGAAATCTGAATTTATTTCAGAGCAGTTATGTTATGTGCCGTTTTTCCACAGTCTAAATGAGCTCCTTACCCTGCCCATGGGCTCATCTTCAGTGCCAGCCCACGGCTCAGGCAAAAACCAGCTCCCCCTGTGGCGAACCAAAAGTGAACTGGCCTCTGGAAAGGGAGAGAAAAGGGAATGGTTTTAGTATTGGAATTCTCCGTCAGGTTTGTAAATGTGTATGGAATCTGATGAGTTGTTTTTTTAATCCACAAGCCAGATCAAAGTGTTTTAGCCACCTACCACTTTGTTGTCTGCAAGTCTCTCCGTTGCCTCTATGGGCCTGTCCAGGCTGGGCTTGCCAATGTAAATATCCTGTGTGTGGACGTAGCCGGACAGCAGTTTCACCAGAGTGCGAACATTAACATAGTTATCGTCATCCACGTGGCAAAACCACCTGTGAAAAACAAGGCACAAGTGAATACTTACTGCTAGGTCCAAGCTAACTAATGAAATTGGATGGAAAAGACCATTACCATAACTGAAGCATACTACATTTCTGTATAGTATAGCAGACAACTAATTTAAAACAAATCAGGTTGTGTCCCACAAAATAAAACTGAGTATTTTTTATACCGAGAGGGTTAATGCCTGTAAACTACTGTAGTTTGACGAAGTCAGAAATAAAAACCTTTCGAAATGAAACCTTACTTTTTGCCTGACTCGATGAACTTGTCGTACTCTACCGCCATTTTGCAAGACAGCGCTTGGCGACTGTGGGCAGCCGAACAGTTTGTGTTGATTGCGTGGCTTCCTGTATTAAAACGGAAAGAAAGAAAAGGGTTAATTGTAATGTCAAAGTGGACAGATTCCCCATCCCGAGACTCATTGCTCTAGATCAGTCTACGTTCTTCAGCTTGTATCTGCCACCTGTTACACAGCTGTCTCAGCGGATGAATCTGCTCTCTGAATTCAATGAGTGATTTACATGAGGACTATGGAGCACAGCCACGGGGTGGAGATCAGTGATGGGGCTATGGCTGGCGACTGAATAGCCAATCCTCCCTCTTTTGAGAACAAACCTTGATGAATTCATTGCAGATGACTGATTCAAGCATCAATAACGAGCTTGCACGTAATAAACTTCACAGTAATCTCAAGGAATTGCTCTCCATTTTTTATATTATGGAAAAAAATCTCTAAGGAGAATGCAAGGGTTTCATCTTATATAAATAAATAAATAAAAAAAAATATTTATTAATAAAAATACAAATATTTTTCATTTTGTGCTGACCAAACTGACTTATTAATGGAGGCAGGGCAGCGTCTGATGATCAGCATAACAAACCATTGAAAAATGCCCAAATTCATTGCCCAGTAACATATGGAAGCTTTTTTTCTGCCGTCACTCACCCATTCTTTTCTTCAGCTCCTCGTCCTCGCCATCTGTAAAGACGTATGTCTGCAAGACACAAACCAAAAGACAATCAGGCGCTTTCTGTGGCTCTGGAAGCGTCTGAGAACCAATCAGAAAGACTCCCCCAGGGAGCCAGCTGATGTTGCTTTCGGAAAAAAAAAAATGCAATTTTTCTTTTAAAAAAAAAAACACCCCGTTTTTGAGACCTTCATTCTCTTCTCAAAGCGGGACGTACTGTCCTCCTTTTACTCCCTGCAAACCCAAGTGAGTTAAACAAGCTGAACAAGTGCACAATTCCCTCAAAGCATGTCTGCGGGTATAATAAAAGCCCCTTTTCCTCCAGAGTGATTTCTCCATGGAAACTGTGTCGGAGAGCCTCAGCAACCTAAACACAATGCAAAGAGCCCAACACAAACAGGAGACATCCCCTGTGACCCACGCCAACACCCCCATTTCCATCACGGCTGTGAATAATTGTACGAACACCTCTTCTCTAACCAAGGAAAGAAAATGACCATATTATCATTTTCATCACTCACAAAACTGACTGTATCAATATGTAAAGAACACACCAGAGAGACAGTGGCTTATGGGGCCAAGACCCATTTTGGTTCCTATAGTGTTAAAGTAGCTGTGAAACATTCCCATTTTTTACAGCTGGGTGGACTGGAGCACTCAGGGCACAACAGCATTATTTGCAGAGGGATATCAACCCCATAATCTAGAAGTCTTGTGTGCAATGGATTAACTCCTACATTGCCACTGCACCAATATATATTTCAATACAAATGGAAATACAAGTTAAACTGACCAAAAAGATGGATATATCCATATAGGCATTTTTATTATGAGAAAGGATGTCATGGAAAACTTTAGATATCGTATACCGAGATCACCATGAAGAAGCTTTGACTTTTTTCTCTATCTTTAATGTACAAGGTTGATAAGCAAGAGCAGGTGCTGCAAGGAATTGGCCCAAGCATGAATGGGGTGTTTGCAGATCAAACAAAGCCTTGATTAAAGATCGCCTTGACCCCTCTTCCTCCTACGGTTGTTAATTTGTTTAACTTCACTTCAGGTGAAATAGCACCTGCTAGCAACTGCCTTCACCGGTGGCTTATCTCTGGCGTACGGCCTGGCTTGGATCAAGTCGGTTTCAATCAGTTGGAAAGGGTTTTCAAAACAATTCACAGAACCCTGTCTTCTACCCTCTTTGCTTTTTTTCTTTGTTACATGCCATATTTCAGGACCTCCCCCCCAAAGAAAAAAGCCTCCACCATTACTAGCACATAGCTAGTAATGTCAAATCCTTGAAACGGACAACCCTTCCCCCACCACTTCACCTGAGACAGCTGCCAGCCGGTGTCTGCTCTGTTTGTGGAACAAATGTGGAGCAGATGTTGCTCGACACAGCAGACCCAAGGCCTCTGTTTGTTTAAGGGAGGTGGTTTTACTAGTGAAAAGACCAGAGACCGAGGTGTTTGCTTAAATTTCTAAAGTCTAATCGGTGAGGCAGCTACCAGATCCTATCAGCGCTGCGATAAGAAAAAGTGAGTGGTGATTATTGAATGTGTGTTGTAATTCAGCCAGCCTCCCCCAACACCACGGGCTCCCGCCCCCCCGACCCCTCCCACTTGCTCTTTCCTGAAGAACAATGCGCTGCGTTTTCAAGCAGGGGAAATTCTCCAGTGAGTAAAGTTTAAATATGTTTGCTCGCATTAGCATACAGCTGCAGTGGTTAACTAAAAAGAAGTCTGGAGGAGAAAGCTTTGTCCTTTGTGTGTGTGTGTGTGTGTTTTTTTCTAAGGATCTGCGATCCTTAAATATTCTTTCAGCGAACGAAGGCTTCAGAGGGAGCAAAATACTTCACATTTCTACGTGGAACGAGAGCAAATAAAATCGAGGATTTCCCGAATTATATACATTAATAAAATGACAGGTCTCTTTCTTCTAATATAAAGACAAAATCGCTCAGAGGCAGACACATTTAACTACCAGTAGATGCAGTATAGTTTGCTTAGTACTAATTTTGGATTTAAAAAGTGTCTTTTATTCCCCCTGACATCCAAACATCACTTCACTTTTAACTTTTAACCAACTGAAAATGTATTTGGTTCCTGATTTGACAGACTTTGAGCCTCCAGAAAATGAGACGATGCTTCAATTTTTTTACGGATGGTCCAGTATTCACATTTTTAGTGCATTTGCCCCTCAGAATCAACCAGTAAATGTCAGTAGGGAATACTTTATTTTTTTCTAATAAAAAAAAACAACAATAGCTGCTACTCAGCAGCAAAAGATGTGGTGTGACGAAGCTCCTCTCCACCGCACTCGCCACAGGAAATCAAACCTCGGCTCAGGCGGTCTGAAATGCTCAGGAAGCCTGTAGCCTGGCTGGCGGTCTCCATCTCCACGGGCAGGAAGGGCAAGACTGCCTGGGGTCTCAGTGTCGCCTATCTCTGCTCTACAGCCTCCTCTCCAATCCCACTGACACCCGGCTGGCCCCTTTTCCTGTCCCACTGCAGACTCGCTGCCAGGAAATTCAATTAGACATTTAAGCAAACATTTCTTTTCTGTGCTGTTTTGAAACTCTTTAGACCCCCAATAGTTGTGTGGTGAAGTGGTCCAGTGGACTGCAGGACTTTCTCTGACTCCTCTGACTCTCACTCATGAACCTCTTTTCCACCTGCAATATTAAAATTGCCAGGTAGGAACAGTTGGTATAAACACCGATCAGAAATAATCCTTTCTCTTAACTTCTTTGCTATTCGTTTCGCCCACAATAATTTTGTCAGTTTGACAGCACAAAAGTATTTTTTAATTATTGCTTGGAAAAAAAGATGATAATCTTTGTCTAATACCTTTAATGCTGAAGCACTCTCACAACTTCACATTCTTTCACCCAGTTATGTGCTTCCTTGTTCTGTTGGCATTTCTGTGGTTTATCTCACTCGGATATTTAATTTTGTCGCAATTGAATTAACCCATATGCAGCAGTGCTGCACACGTACAACTGGAGAAAAATGCTCTCCTTGTGAGGACAGCAGTTATTCTCTTAATTAAGGTCTGCATGCATACCATGATGTCACTATGAGGCCCAGAAATGGAATTAATGTAGAAATAGCCTGTGTTTGAACTAGTCGAGGGGTGATTCATGTTGTATCTGCTGTCCTACTGTGCAGATGGTTAAGACTTCAAAACAATGGAAGGGATTGTCCAAATAATGTTTCACTGATTACTCTATTTCAGTTATTTTTTCTTCCCTGCTGTTTATATGTACATTTATGGGCAACCATGGTATAACATTTTGTTTTAGAGAGACAGACTTGGGGGATCTTTAGCTCACACTATTGTAAGTGTCTTGCTTCCACAACCTCTCAGGGCAACCAGCGCTATTCATGTGCAACAATGTCCACTGTGTGGATGCACAAGGAACAAGGGCCTCATGTTTAATTGTTGTTCATAGTTCTACACTGTCGTACTTGAGAAGCTGTATTGTTGGAAGAGGAAAAGTTTAAGAAACGCAGGAAGTGCTATAGAACAATACTACCAAAAACAGGGGAAAATGAAAAGAATCTCAGGATAACAAATAATATTTATGAGTATAATAACACTTATTTATAAGTGTCATAAGAATACTTCCACTCCAGTGTCTAAAGAGGTATATATATATTCAAAAATGTACATATAATAGGATCCTTAAGTAAACTGGCTGAATGTATGAACTTATTTTTCTGTTAATCAAGAGGTAACGACATTACATACAGTTTTGCAGTTTATACTGCCTACACACAAGCCAGCCAGCTGGCCCAGCACATTTTATTTGTATGGTGGTTACAGTTTGTCATTGATGCTTCCTAATTATGCTGACGTCATTTGTACAGTGACATTTTCTGAAGGTCTCACTTGGAGCATGAACTGGTATCTGTTTCAATTTTTGGTGTATTTTTTTTTTTACTCACAAGATTTCTGAGTTTGTTCTGGTTTAAAAATTAGCTTTTGCCTTGTCAGTGTGAAAATGAAAAAAGCATCTTCCGACATGCAGAGTCTTATCTGCACTGAAGTCAGTCCTGGACTGTAAGTTAAACGGCCTGTAAGGTAGAATTTTACACTGTATCAGTACTGATTAAAACTAGAACAATACAAACCACAAATGTGCTGTCTTATTATTGTTGCATATTTCTTAATACACTTTCAGCTCCCTAACTTTCTGTAGTACTACAGACATGCTATGAATACTGCAACCCCATGTCTTACTTTGGTTACTGCACTAGTTTTTAATTGCATGCTAGGGTGTCCCAGTCTTCAATAATGATAGAAAAGATATAATTTCCAAATTTAATATTGATTATATTCAAATTACTTAGTTACACTAAATAAATGCTGTGAATTATATTTGTTTACAGAGATAAGATATAATAAAGACTGGTCTTACTCATAACTGCACCTGTTATCTGGTTCCTGCCCCCAGAGCACTCAACACCTGCCTTTCTAGTGTGTACAGTAAGCACAAAATAGCTGCGTCAACAGTATCTGCATGTACACTAACCTTTAGCAACACACTTATAGGACTGTGGAGCAGCTTCTGCACGGTTTTGAGCTCTTAACTGTAGCACAATATTTACCGTCAGTATTTCAGTATTTATAGTGTGTCAGATGTGGATGTATTATTGGAATAGAGACATTACTGGAGTGACAGTAAAGTCCATAAGCATAAAAGCCATTGTGGACAGATAATTCTTTATGACTTGGACATGGACTGGGTGTTTGTGGTTTGCTTTTGGTATGTTATGCACCTGAAATGATATTCTGTTTGAATAGTGGCTCAGTAGTGCAGTGGTAAGCATTGCTGCCTTGTGGCGCCCTGTCCCTGTGCTCAGTTCCAGGAGTTCTGTCTGTGTGGGTTTGCGCTGGGGGCTCCAGTTTCCTCCCACAGTCCAAAGACAGTCTGGTTAACTGGTTTCAGTGACAATTCTCCTCCAGGTGTGTGTGTGTGTGTGTCAGTATCCGTGTGTGCCCTGCGATGGACTGGTGTCCCATCCAGGGCGTACCCCGCCTTGCGCCTGTTGCTTGCTGGGAAGGGCCCGGCTCGCCCCCGCCATGACCCTGCATTGGATGAAATATTAAGAAGATGGATGGATGGATGATCGTTTGTGAGGTAAATGTTCTGCCTTTGTGCTTATCTCCTCAACACCTGGCATCCTGCTTTCTGCAACACCCATTTTAATTCCAGCCCTCCGTTTTTGTCTTCTTCACCTCACCAGCTGTCCAGACCTTCTGCAACACTTTGTGTGATATTAAATGTGTTACGTCCAACCATGCCATAATCTGTGCTCATAGGCATAGAACAAATTCTAGGCCTGGTAAACATAGACGGACCAGCGAGTAACAGGTGAGCTCTTCCCTCACAGCGGTGGCTCTGTGGCTAAGGATCTGCGCCTGTGGCTGGAAGGTTGCCGGTTCAAATCCCGTGGCTGGCAGAGGAATCCTACTCCGTTGGGCCCCTGAGGAAGGCCCTGAACCCCAGCTGCTCCAGGGGTGCTGTACAATGGCTGACCCTGCGCTCTGACCCCAAGCTTCTCTCCCTGTCTGTGTGTCTCATGGAGAGCAAGCTGGGGTGCGCGAAAAGACAAATTCCTAATGCAAGACATTTTATGTGGCCAATAAAGTGATGTTATGTTATGTTTTCTTCTTTGATTGAAAGGCAGGAATGAAAACGCACGGGGGAAAGCTCTCAGTTTAGGGAAATCAAATATCTGGGTTTATCTGTAAAAAAATAGTGCATCTGAATTTCTGAAATAAACTTCATTAATTAACATCTGTAACTGTAACTGTAGATCAGTTATCTACAGTTCTATAGGGTAAAACATTCTTAAACATGGGAATAGATGTAGTGATCTTCGCTCTGGTGACCCCTGATTACAGATTTGATTCAATCAATCAAATTTTGATTCTGAACAATGTTTTTGAAATCAAACTCAAAGTTTTCATTCTGGTTCAAAGTTCTGATTCTGATGCATTTGGGGCCGAAACTAGGCTTGATTCAAAGAAGAGCATTTCTTTTCGGGGATACTGCTTCATTCCTCTTTGTGAACGGTGGTACTTTCCTCAAGCTCCTTGTTTGCGGGCTGTTCTGTCTCCAGGCCGTGTCAGACTCGGCGTGGAGCTCAAAGCATCAGGGGTCCAATAGGTTTCCTCTCTCCCCCCCCCCCTGTCACTAGTTCTCCCTAATGAAGCCTCCATTTTCCCATCACTCAAGAGCTTGACCCAGACACAGTCGACCCCCTCTTCTCCACAAACAAAAAATCCACAACTTCAGCTCCCACGTTCCCATGGAGAGAGGCTGAGAAACCTTTTCTTTCCTCTTCAGAAAGAAGCTTTGTTAGCACTGGAGAAGGACAGTGTACAGGCTGCGGCTATAGATCCTGAGAGCCAAGGTATTCACATAAACACCCTAAACAAAAAGAGAATGGAGAACAGGCAGCAAGGGGGACAGAGGCATCCCTGAGAACTGGTGCACAGATTCTTAGAGATGTCACTCTAGGTAGAGGGTCTGACAGGGGGAGAGGAGAAAAGGAATATGGGGGGGGCTGTAGGTGTCAGAATGTCTTCTTAGAGCGAGGTGGAGCATGTGGGAATGCAATCCCATCTAAAGACATCTACGGTTGTAGCCTGACAACAGAGCACGGGGTATTTCGAGAAAAGTACACGGAAACATCTGGGACTCAAAACGCGTAAAAACAAAAAGACTGGCACAAATGACCCCTTTGGAGCAGCTTCAAATATCTTACGTCGTCCTTCGAATTGTATAAAACGAACCTTCTGACCCTGCAACTTCAAAATTCAAAGTGAATGCAGTGGATATATGTATTACCGTAATGGCGTTGGGATCTCAAGTTGATTTCACCGACAGAGTGGGTCTTTAAATCAATTATGCTTCCAGTCTGAACGGGGCTTCTTTCCATTTTCACACACTTTCTTTTCCCACCAGCTTCTGACGGCTGAAGAAAAAGCCTTTTCCCTTTATATTCTGCCTCTCCGTTGCTCCCTTTATGTTTCGGAGACAGATCATTATGCTAAACAGCTAAGGTCTCTTGGCTCGGTTTTACATCTGACAAGCTTGGTCAAGTCACACGAAATGAATCGGCATCACTAATCGTGTTTCACGGACTATACCTCCAAAATCGCATGGGGCTGGGAGAAGGCAGATCAGACAGTGACAGAGGCTCATGCTGGGAATCCGAAAAACTGAAGGTTTTATGCCATTTTACGTGCGCATTTCTGTCCGCTAGAGCCAATAGTTTTGTCGGCTAATTCCATGTACATGGTTATATTGTTTCTAATTCATTCAGAAATGCATGTCCAATTTAGCATTTCGAAATTAATTGAAAATGAAAGATTTTTAATGAAAACCCTTAAGTACTCATTATGGCACGGCAATTATATGTGCGATATCCGCAAGATCCGCAAGCCGGATACCTAATTCTATAAGACACCGATCAGCAGTGCGAGTAGCTTTGTTCCGTATAAAAAGAATCCCCTACACACGGGACATTCAAAAAGTCTTCTCGGTTTGTCAAATGTAACGTTGAGGTGTCAATAACGCAGAAACTAATAAAATCATAAAATCCGCTAGAGATTCCACCTTATATTGCCCGTGGGGGAACATGCGCTATAATAGGACATTATTGAGATGTCCTGTATCCCAAGGGCTATAATAGCCCCTCATTTTACCTAAGGTTCTTTTGTTAACCCCCAAGCCATTCATCTGTCGCGTTTTCTTGCCTGTAGATTCCAAATGCTTTTAATACTCAAGATAGAAGATTCATTTGAATGAATGTTCGCTGCATTGAAACATTTCAGGTTGCGCAAAACCACCTTTTGACAAAAAAAAAAACAGTAAATAAAAGCAAACTTATCTAGCAACTTCCGTGGTATAAAGTATAAGAATTGATGCTTTATAAACCATCCCTACATACCTGTTGCAGGTTCCTTGATATCCAGGTGTCAAGAAGCAGCTCCAGCCTGGACTGATGAAACTTCTTGGTCGTCTTGACCGCGATAAAGACATCCTCAGGGGTGATGTCCTCTGCAGGTGGCTTCTCTGTAACCAACTGCCTTTGCAATTCTGGTTTCTCCGCTTCTCTCCTTCCCCGCGTTAGCTTTGTGAAATAAGCAGAAAATCCCTTTTCCTGCTCGGGGTTGGAACTATCTTGTTGCTGGTGTTCCGACTGACTCTGTATCATAGAAGCGCCTTTCTTTGTCCGTAGGTTTTCCAGGCTTTGTAGGGAGCGCATCCCGACCTCTCTCTCGTTAAACACCTCCTCTACCTGGGCTCTCTGATGCTCGGCCAACAGAAGTACCAACAAGCAGGTGAGGGTAGCTCCTACGATAGACAGCGCAATTTTTTTCCCGCAACTTTTGAACATTTTAGGCTTTGTACATATATTAGAGTTTAAAACAATTAAACTGCACAGGCGGCCGTTTTGGCTACAGATTTAAATAGCTGAAGCTAGTAGTGATGAGAGAACTTCCTTCTAATCTCTAACCTTAACGATACACTGCACGCACCATGTAACATCCAAATCCCTTGAACCGCACTGGAACAGTTTTTATAAAGCGTCTGTCAGGAAAGCCACACCAGATGGGCGGTACGCATTTTCTGTTCTGTACAGCACTGGCTTGTCGTTCAAAGAAAACGCATCTCCAGGCGGAGTTTATTACAAGAACATACACCCATTAGGGGAGGGATGAGAGGTCGTGTCTGAGAACTGGGAGCATACGAGAGATGAACGTCGTGGGTGCAGAATTGCAACCAAAGAGTTTTAAATACAAGTCTTTTTTTCGGTGTTTAACGCGTTATTTTAGTAAGTTCATTTTAAACGTTGCAGTCTGGATGAAGTAGTAATTCATGATTTGTATTTTCCTTCGTCCAATATGTATATTCTAAATATTGTATAGTGATCTGAGGAGAGGGGGCCACTCAATTCATTTCATTGCCTTATTTGCAGCGTGTGCAAAAAATAAAAGTTAAAGATAAACCAGGAAGCAGCTAGCTATTACAACTCGCAGACAAATCAAATTGATCTTTACAAAGAGCAGCGTCTGTAGGCAGATTATAGTGCACTTTGGCGTTTCAGGTATCCCAGCTAGAGAATGCTGAAACGTTGCTATCCCTGCAGACAGAGCCTTGAAGAGGCTCAGACAAGCGGTATGTAACTCTGCCAGTGTGTTGGTGCCAAAACCCAGCTACTTGGGGAATGTCGTTTTCACAACAATAATAGGCTTCCTTGAAGGCTTTCTGAAAGGCATCATACTGGAGACCTCATTACAGTGACAAGATTCTCGGACGACGCCAGAAATTCTCCTTTGAATTCTTTGCGACTTCATTCCATTCAAACAAAGACAATTTCTTCTATCAGAGATACTGTACTTCATTTATTTTTGAGAAGTAGACACACTATTTAAAATAGATAGTGCCATCTCTATTATTTTTTGTCCCACTTTCTAGAATTAGGGTCTAAATTTAGTTTCTTCTGAGTTTTTTTTTTTTACTTGCTGCCCGTATTACCTTGAAAATAGATCAGGTGGAGTAGTGACACGTTACTGCACTGGCTGAATTAAGGAGCAACTTTAGGGAGCTAACTTGGGAATAACCAGCAGTATATATATATATCGAAGTTGTGCAGAGTCTGTCAAATATTATTGTAACTTATTTGTAGTTTTGTACATGTTTATGAGAAAAAAAAGGACAATGTTGCTAAAGGGGTAACTTGGAGATTTTCACAGTTCCTTATCAACAGCTTTGGACACTTCATTTTTAAAATAACGACATACAGACACAAACATTCGTACTGTACAAATTATTGTAAGTGCAGTTTGTGGGAAATTGACACAGACTCTTTCCCAATGTGTATTTATATCAGGGTTTTTCTACTCTGAAAGCCACTTGCATTTCAGTGTTCTTCAGCCATTCCATGCTGCTGTCAGTCGTGAAGTCTTTAAACACTTATGTGTAGTGTATATGTGTTTTGTTTCCTGTAGCTGGAGATCAACTGAGTGCCTGCCTGTGTCCACTGAACACAATAAATTGTCAATAGGCTGCTACAAATGTAACAACTACTAGGTAATTCCTGATATATATATATATGTTGCAATTGTTCTCTGCAGAATATTGTCAGGACAGGGTGTAAAATCTGTTTGAAGGCTCTCCCTTCTTTCATTCCATGAAACAGTTTCATCAGTTTTGCAATTTCTGATTGGATAAAGTACAGTATGCATTTTTGCCAGTGTTACTGTAGAGTGGAAATGTGACCGCCTTAAACAACTTTAAACAAACTGAGCAATTGTCAAGTTTGTAAAAAAAAAAAACGAACCCCATCAGAAGAGATCTCGAAGAATGGAGGGAAGTGTTGCAGTCTCTGTTCAAGATGTCAGCCGTGGAGCTCCGGACTGTAAATCTAGCAGAAGGGAGAAGAAGCAGGCTTTTTGTTTTCTTTTGGAGGCTCCTCACAAAGAGGGCAGAAAAAACAAGCATGAGAAACCAGGCTGAAGGGGCTGTCTCCCTGGCCCATATTTTTCTGGGATCAGTAGACTCTTTGGGGGTCTTTTTTCACTGTTTTTTTTTTTAAGGTTCCTCCTACTTTTGAAAACCATGCCCTGATGGTTTCTCAAAGAGCCCTGACAATGCTTGTTGTTAAAACTGGGGTAAAATGTAAAATGTTTTGGAAGCTTCATTTGTAGTTCAGATTAGTACTCAATCCCCCCCACCACCACCACCCTCCTTCGAGCAACAACTATAAAAAAAATCCTTGTCCGCCTTCTCCTAATCCTCTCTTGGATCCTTCATCCTTAATAAGTCACCACTGAATTCCTGTGAAATGAATCTGCCCGTCTGAATGCAATCCACTTCCCCACAAAAATGTCCACAAATCTCTCTAATAAACACAACAACTTTATTTTCTTCAGACCTTGTCAGCAACTACAAAGATCTGAGAACTGTTTTATGCCTTGGAGAACTGGATAGGATTAATGGGAATGTGGTGTGTTTGAATGTATACTATACAACAGTTGAGAAATTGCTTTCTCTTAGTTCTGTGGCCAACATTATGTTGTGGAAATAGATTTAGAACAATAGTCTTTCATTTCCTGATATATATCGTACTTGTGTGCTATTTTTGGAAATATGTAGGCATATACTGTGTATTGATATGTACATATACTGTATAGATGAAACCTTATGTATGGTGGTTGGTTCCTTATTCTGAATATTTTTGGACTGATGTAGAATAAAGTAAAAGACTTTGCCAATGACTAATCAGTGAATCAGAGTGAACTACTTGTGAAAAACAGTGGGAAAAATGGAATCTGCTTGTTCACTTTGGTTGTAATATTCGTTCATAAGGGATCCTGCTTTGGAAGATCAGAATTTAACATAATTCACTTTAGATTTTTTTTTCTTTTTTTTTTTCCTGGGAAGTGAGTTAAGACGGAGTCCTACTCCGTCCACAGTAAAAAAAAAAGCTGTTACTTAGAGCAAAGTCTGTCCTTATATTTGCTTAGAATATTCTTTCTTTGCTCTTTGGAATGTTTAACATACTTGTATTGGGGGGGAAAAAAAATCCAACATTGCACAACAAAAAAAGGCAATAATGTAGAAATAGACCAGACCTTGATTTTCAACAAACGCAGAGAGTGCATTACGCTACAGTTCTCTATTGGAAATACAGTACTGCTAAAGTGGTTGAATATGATGAAAATAAATTGGCATAACCCCAGATGGTACACAGTGAAACAAATGTCTCCCCATTGTAATATTAATATTAAATGCATATTTGGATAAGTGTAGTCTGACTTCATAAAAACAAATACATACAAAAGGTTTTTTCTAAAGCAGCCTGCTTGTGCAGGATGCTCAGGGATTCTTTGTATTGTCTGTAAAGTATGTGAGCCAGTCTTTAGCCCCAGGGCCCACAGCAGCTATTGTTTCTAAATATGTTAACGGTAAGCAGAGAGCCAGCCCAGTGTAAGGCTGAGGTACAGGGACTAAAGGAACCTCTAGCTTCTTCCCCAACTCTGTACCACGTTTCTAAAGGGGACTGGATGTCTCATATTTGTTCTATTTTAGTTTTCGGTAGCACAGGTTGATTTATTATGTTAATGTAGCGTTTAACATTCCAGAGGCTTCCCAAAATAGGAGGGAATGCCAACAGCACTGAAGTTCACCAGCAACCTGAGTGACCCATAACACCATCATGCTCCAGAAGTCATCCTAGGTAGCTGACCAGATAAAGAAGTGAGAAACTGCAACGTCAGCTCAACTAAGAAAGAAATTTAGGGAGGCCGGATTGTGCAAGCACAGAGTACAGTTCAGCCAAGACATCAGCGTTAACACCCCTACTCTACCAACAGCATCATGTGATGTTTTATTACCTGAGTAGTCAGGAACCCAGGTTAATGAGCAGTGCTATGGATAGGACATCCTACAGCTCAGCATCCTGAATCGCCATTTGGTCGGAAATCCTGGTCTTGAGGAAAGAGGACCAGCAATGCCACTTACAACAGTAACAAGGTCTCCTATCTCAGTACTGACCAGATGCAACCTTAAACCTCTTAGTTTCTGAGATCTACCAAGATAAGGCTAGAAGCTGGTAATGCGGAAGCAATGTGTTTACCCCTAGATCGCATTTTTATTCCTTACTGTGGTTTCATCCAGTTTACAAACCAATCCAGATTACTATCTTAATTTGGATTTCAACTTATGCTTTAGAAAATAACTGAACAAACATTAATACGTTTCTGGATTTGTACTGGTTCTTTACGTTTCCTAAACTGTAGGCATCTAATATCGACAGGTTAATGTCAGGTCCATGTGTAATTTTGAGAAACACCAAGAAGTGTACTTGGGTGAACCTTATCTGTACCGCATTATTCAGGTTTTTTTTGTCTGGTGTCCCTTATATTCCTAATAAATATTTTATAATATATACATTGATATTCCAAAGAACAAAAAAAAAAATGCTGTATATATTCCCTCCCTACGAAGGCATCATGTAATTCTTGTTTTTATTAAATGTTGAAAAGCAAGCTTTGGATTAAATGAAATATGAACAGTATTTGATCTGCTGTAGTATAAAAGTGCTTTGCAGCTAATTTTGGAAAGAAATCTTGAATGAGTAAATTTGGAAAACAGCAACTGTCTTCATTAAATTAATGAGAAACAAGTAAAGGCTAAATCTACATGGACACGTTGAAAGAAAATTAAAAACACGTTTTGGCTGTTGTGAGTGTCCACACCTGAAGATAGAACCTTTTTTTTCCTCCCTTTGTTCTGCTGTTCAGCATAAAATTAAACTTTTCTTGTTTCATTATAGCCATTGGCCACTGATGTAGCTCCCCACTCCCCACTCCTCCAACTTCCTCATTCAGTTCATGTGAAGCAGTTGGCTCTGTGAAATTATGCACTCTGTGAAAATATATATGTTTTTCAGTCTTTCCTCATGATTTTTGGACCTATATTTCCTTTTTGGTCAGTATTTTTACATGGTGAGTTAATATAACCAGGAATCCTGGGTGCCTTTAGTATTTTTGTTATGTTC